GGAGGGGCCTGGGGGAGGTGTCCCTGCGTTTTTTTTTTTTTTTTTGTGAGTCCTCACCTGAGGGTACTCTCTCCATTGCTTTCCAGAGAGAGGAAGGGAGGGAGGGGAGAGGGGACGAGAGAGAGACCTTGATGTGAGAGAGAGACATTGACTGGTTGCCCCCCACACACACCCGGACCGGGGGCGGAGAGTGAATTATCACCCAGGTACGTGCCCTTCACTGGGCATTGAATTTGAGACTCTTCAGTGCAGGGGCCGGTGCTCTAACCGCGGAGCCGCCGGCAGGGCCGGCCCGCTGTCTGCTGGTGGCCTAGCCCCCTTGCACCCCTGCCCCGGGCAGTCTCATCGGCAGGATCCCAAGCAGCCTGGACACCCCCAACTTCCTGTTTCTTCCCATACACACAGTCAGTGCTTTTTACAGACGCTCTCGTGGGGGTGGTTTTAGTCCACAGCAAAGTGAAGCAGAAGGTACGGACTCTCCCACAGCCTGGCCACCATGCGCGGCCTCCTCAGCCAGGGCTCCCCCCCCCACCCCCCCGCGTGGGGCACTGGCTCCCCTCGGCGAGCGGCACTGAACCGCCCCGTTACCTGCCGTGGCCCACGGGCCCCTCGGGGTGGACGTGCTGTGGGTTTGGGCAAATGCCTATGACGTGTCCCATGACCGTGTCGTGTCCTGCAGGGCAGTTTCACTGCCTGGTGTCCAGGGCTCCACCTGCTTACCCCTCTCCTTGTCCCGTAACCCCTGGCAACCACTGACCGACCCTGCCCTCACAGATTTGCCTTTTCCAGAGCATCCCAGACTCGGAATCACTCGGCGTGTAGCCCCCTCAGACCGGTTTTTCCGCTGAGTAATGTTATTAGCGATCAGTGTAGCATGCTGAACTTTATTTTCATTTATTTTATTTTTTTATTGATTTCAGAGAGGAAGGGAGAGAGAGAGAGAAACATCAATGAGAGAGAATCATTGGTCAGCTGCCTCCTGCACGCCCTCTACTGGGGATCGAGCCCACAACCCAGGCATGTGCCCTCGACTGGAATCGAACCTGGCACCCTTCAGTCCGCAGGCCGACGCTCTATCCAGTGAGCCACACCGACTAGGGGCATGCTGAGCTTTAGACACAGCTGCGCAGCACGTTTCTCCTGCGAGCTCTGGCTATGCTGGACCCAGGCCGGGCTTCCCTGGTGACGAGGACGCTGTCCTCTGCAGCCGGCAGCCTCCCCAGCGCTGGGCCCACAGGTCCACAGCCCACTGTGCACCCCATTTCAGTCCATGTTCCGTGTCTGGTCTGACGCTGGGGGGCAGAGCTGCTGTCTCAGCGTTATTTGCAGGTGTGTGTTGAGGACACCCCCCAGTGAACTAACGAATACACTGTTCACCCTGGCTGGTGTGGCTCAGTGGATACAGCGTCGGCCTGCGGACTGAAAGGTCCCGGGTTTGATTCCGGTCAAGGGCACGTACCTCAGTTGTGGCTCCCGGCCCTGGCCTGGGGCGTGCAGGAGGCAACCAATCGATGTGTCTCTCTCACATCGTTGTTTCTCTCCGTCTCTCCCTTTCCCTTCCGCTCTCTAAAAACCAATGGAAAGATATCCTCGGGTGAGGATTAAAACAAAAGAATGGGCTGTTCTCTCTCGGATCCAGTGATGTGGTTCCGTGACATCGGACCGCGCAGTGTGTAGCGGCTGCGTTACCAGACAAGGGAGGGGGGTCAGCCTTCAGTGGAGGCCGGGGTGGGGTGGTGGGCACACGAGGGAGGGAGGTGTCACCTCCTTGGGTCCTGCTGGGAGGTGGACCCGCTGGTGCCACGGCTGAGGCGGACCTGGCCTTGCAGCGCTTCCGGGCCTCCGTGTACAGACGGTACAACGACTTCGTGGTCTTCCACGCGCTGCTGCTGCAGAAGTTCCCCTACCGCATGGTGCCTGCCCTGCCGCCCAAGAGGATGCTGGGAGGTACAGCTGGGTGGGCGGGGCCGAGTCCCTGGAGGGGGTGCCTGCTGAGACCCAGGCGCCAGGGCCAGCGGGTCGGCGAGTGGGTGGAGTCTCGGGCCT